ACAGCAAGCCCCATTAGTGAGTTCTGGGAGCTTTTCCCCCCTGCTTTAAGTCCTAGCCCCAATTTAAGACTCTGCTTAAGCTTGGTTCTTGCAGGGAATTCTTTGCCAGAGTGCAGAGCAGGTGAGCAATAGAATTTGTTTCTTTAGTTTCTCTAAGATTCCATCGGTAGAGATATTCCCTTTTAGCTACCTCCCCACGCCCCACCAGGTATGAGCAAAAGCCCCACACAGGGAAGACAGCTCTGTGTTGCATTATAGGAAAAGCTATTGTGACAGCATTCAGAGACTGTCCTTACTGAAGACCTGGCCAGCTGGAGATTGGGTCTGGGGTGGGGAGTACAGATGTTTATTCATTCTCTCCTCCCCACTTTGGCACTAGGAACACCTCTTTAGCTTTGCTAAACAAACGCATGCTGTATTCTCACCAGACCCTCCAGTAGTCACTTCACTGACAAAAAAAAAAAAAACAATGGGAAGGTAAATGGTCACTGGAAACCATGACGCGAGGGAGTTCCAGGCAGGGACAGGACCAGAACCCAGGTCCTTGGGCTCAGGAAAAAAAAAATTTTTAATCAAAGATTCCAATCAATTCATTATTGGTGAAATATACAAAAACTCACAGAAATCACAGGAGTTCCAAACCTATTTTATAAAAATAATAAAATATTTATCAGTATGTACAAGAACATCAGGATTCACTCTTATCAATGGGCTCATGGAACTATGAACTGCTGTGGGGACATCATTCTTCCCTTGCAGAGAGGTACCATGGGCTTCTGGAAGTTCTCCCCGTTCCTGGCTATTGGCATCCTGGTCCTGTACCAAGCAGGCGTCCTCCAGGCAGCACCATTCAGGTAAGATAGCCCTGCCAGGAGTGTACTCCCTTCCCACTTCTCCTAGCATCAAACCGTTCCATTCTCTGGTGGGCTAAAAGGTTAACAACCAGCTCTCAGGGGGGGAAGGTATGCATGTAACCTGCATAAGGGTTTATTATACACATTTTATACTATAAAGATATTATATACAACTTAAAAACATAGTATATACTACTCTTTATTGTAAATTTCATATAGTTTATTGAGCCTTATGGAACAGTCATTGCTATTTACCAAACATTTGTATCTATAGCAAACCTATTTATCTAATTAAAGCACAATTTGAGAAATGAATTGCATACTAATTTAATTTTCCACTGAATTTATTCTTATTAGATCTAATATGAGACCTCTCAATCTAATTTCTCACCCTTACACAAATATTTTCAGATTCAAACTAATTGTTTTATCAGTTAATCCTTAATAATAGCTAAATTTAACACTAAGCTTATAATATTCCTGAAAAATCTAACCATCACTTTCACCAACCTATATATTCTAGTTCCAACAGTCCACGTCAAGGTCACCCTACTGCCTGACTATGGGTGAATCAGTGTTTTTTGGAAGGACATTGGACTCATGCCCTGTTCACTAGGATTTGGGGTGGCCATATCCTTAGGGAAAACACAGAGAACAGGAAGCCTGGCTACTGATCCAGGGGAAGTGGTAGACAGAGGCTCAGAGCCTCTATTGTGCTTGCTTCCCCTCTGTAGGTCTGCCTTGGAGAACCCACTGGAACCTGCTACACTCACTGAGGATGAAATATGCCTCCTACTGACTGCAGTGCTGAAGGACTATGTGCAAATAAAGGCCCGTGAGCTGCAGCAGGAGCAGGAGACTGAGGGCTCCAGGTGAGGCTCCCCACCC